TTAGTCATCCCTAAGTGGGATTAGTCATCACATAATTGCATAAGAACAAGACACCTCATACTTAGTATTTCTCCCCAAAAAGCCTCTAAAATTGCTCACGGCATTTCTAAAATTTTGGGGCAAATTGAAGGAAATTTTACATGACTTTTAAATACAAAAAAATTGCTCACGGCACTTAATGAACTAAACATGATTAATAATTAATTAAACATAATCTATATACTTAATTAATTACTAAACATGATACTTAATATCCGAAATTATTCCGAACGTAAACGGGACGTCGAAAATAATTCCGGTTAACCTCGACTGAAATAATTAATTCGAACTGTAAAAATTTCGAATCCTTGACTTGGACGATTAATCCAAATATTGATATTTCGAATAATTCGTCAACTTAACTTATTAATTCCGAACTCATTAATTAATGAACGAATCGGAATTAAATCTGGAAACTTATTCGGTTACTGAAATAATTAAACCGAATAATTTATCGACTAATAGTCGGATTTGGAATTTAACTAGCTGAATAACATGAACTTGAACATGATTATTTATTAACAAAGGCTAGCTTAAAATTAAAAGCTAGTATTTTCTTTATTAATAAAACTCGGGGTGTTACAAACTCTCCCTGTCTTTCCTTGTATTCTACTTATTTGTAGTCTGTATTGTATATATTGTACTTTGTTTTCCCTTTGGTATAAAATCAATCGTTGTGAAAAAAAAAATAGAATATGAAAAGACTTTGTGTATTTATTTGCTAGATGAGGGTAATAATAGAAAAATATGTACAAAATAACCAAAACGACATTTATTTTGTTAATAGTTGATAACGCCCATATGGGACCATTTAGCTTCTAATTAGGGTAAAATACTTTTTCCCATCCGAACTATCACGGTTTTGGCGCATCACCATATAAACTATTTTTTTTTTTTTTTTCAAACCACCATATGAACTATACGGGTTTGTCAATGTGCCCCCTAAACCGGATATAAAAGTGGTTTTGACTGGAAAAAAAGTTGTTTTTAATGGCATTTTAGTAATTTCACACATTTTTTAGAAAATAAAAAGAGAAAAATGAAAAAATGAGTATAAGTTGGTTTCAAAAAATAAAATAAAAAACTAAAAAATAAAAAGTAAAATGAGAAATGAGGCTCGTTCTAAAATGCCTTGGACCAGAAATACCTGCTACGCCACCGGAGTCCCCCGCCGGCCTGCGCCGTCGCCGGCCCTACCACTGCCTCCCGTTCGTAGTGGAAACCGATGCATGCGACGACAGTTGAGGGCACATCACGTCGAGCTCATTGTGGGTACGTGGCGGGAGGCGGTGGTGGGGCCGGCGACGGTGCAGGCCGACGGGGGCTCCGGTGGGGTAGCAAGTATTTCTGGTCCAAGGCATTTTGGAACGAGCTTCATTTCTCATTTTCTTTATTTTTTATTTTTTATTTTTTATTTTTTTGAAACCAACTTCTTAATTTTTTTTCATTTTTCTCTTTTTTTTTATTGGGTTAATTGCTAAATAAACCATAATCTTTTTGCGCTTGACAATTTTATCCCAATATTTGGGTAATTGCAATATAGTCTCTACCTCAATTTACTTATTGCAATTCGAACCTAGAACCGGTTGGTCCTTCAAAAAACTGGTCGATTTGAAGGCGGTTCGAACAAATCGAAGCTCATATTTATCGGTTCACTCCAGATCTAGGAGGAGACTCATCACCGGTAGCTTACATTGACGTGGAATTTTCGTCTTTATGTGTGGATATACATTAAATACGTGGAAATTGTCAACTTGCTACGTGGATGACATAAAAACTCGTGTCAATGTAAGACTTGGGCACAAAGTCGATCCACAAATCCCTAAAATTAATCACTCTGCACCCAAATTTGCAATAAGTAAATTGAGGTCGAGATTATATTGCAATTACCCAAAGATTGGGATAAAATTTCCGAACCCAAAAAGATTAAGGTTTATTTAGCAATTAACCCTTTTTTATTTTCTGAAAAATGTGTAAACTTACTAAAATGCCATAAAAATAGTTTTTTTCAGTCAAAACCACTTTTATATCCGGTTTAGGGGGCACATTGTCAAACCCGTTGTTGTAAATATTTTCCGGCGTAGAATGTGAAGATTCGAACACCGGTTCGTGTCTCACGAGGAAGGTTAGCCGGAATATATTGTACGTTTATTCAATCACGAAAAAGAATAAAATACCTAATCATACTAATTTAATGATTGAGTTTGGTTTAATTATCTACTAGCACGAGAATTCAAATAAATCAGTAAAAATAGCACGCAAAGACGAAGAACAAATAGGATTTAACGAGTTAGGGAGTCGGGGATATCCATTTTGGTTCGAAAATGCAATTAATGAGCACGTGATTATTCAGTTAAGTGATTTGAATAACAAACACGTTCTAGAACTCATTCTCAATAACTCTTAGTAACAAGAGAACAAACTAGAACGACAAATTACAAGTCATTTAACTCCTAGGCAATACAGTTACGATCACACGTAGCTTATGCAAACCTAATTCGACTGACTCCTCCCATTTTGGTTCTAAAAGTCGATAAAAATAAGACTAGAAGGTGGTTAACCGACTAATCAAATAGATTCACCAATATCAAACATGAATTAATCGAATTCAATTAAAATAATTGGAAGTTGAAGTGTCACCCTTCAACAATTCTCAAAACTCAAGAACGATTATAGAAAAACCCTAGTAAAGACCGATTTGCATAAGACGAACAATCATCTAATCCCACAATCGCAATCGAAATCAAAACATTAATCCCCTATCCATAACATACGGATTTAGCTACTCATAATCGAACAATCAACGTAAGTAATCACAATTGAAGAATTCATAATTAAATAATAAATAAAAAGAGATTCTTACAATTGCTAAATCCCAACATTGAATTGATAAACAAGCTTAATCTGAAAGAAATAGCGAAATCAGTGTTTGAATCCTTATTCGCAATTAAAAACGATGAAAAACGAAAGTAAAAACGAGAGAGAAAGATGAGAAGTAGGGTTCGGTGTCTTTTTTTTGTGAGAGAAAGAAGAATCCTCGATTTTATTTCCGAGCTCGTATATAGAACTGGGCGAGTCGCGGCGTGAAAAGATTTCACGGCGTGGCACTATCAGGTGGCGCGGCGCGGAGGAGGATCACGGCGCGAGGGGTTGTCCTGTCACGGCGCGGCGGGTGGAAATCTGGACGGAGCTTCGCGGCGTGGGGCTTCGTCGAGGCGCGACAAGCAGTCCTTCACGGCGTGGAAAATGTGCAGCGGCGCTGCGCGGCCTTCCTTCACGGCGCAGGGGTATCGCGAGAAGCCTGAATGGGAGAACTGGCAGCAGCTGGCGCGGTGCGGCGGTCTTCGCCCCGCGGGGAGAAGTTGATATCACGGTGCGGAGGTCTCGCGAGCTGTGCTGGGAAAAAGAATGATGCATGTGCCGCGGCCCACTGGCTGCCGCGGCGCGGGGCGTATTTTCTGACCTTCTGTCCAAGACGTGTCGTAAGCACGACACGATGGTGGGACCTCCTGGGACCTCTGTCCGTGTTGTGGCACCGGCGTGATGCGACACCTGGGAGACTCGGTGGTCTATGTTGCACGATTTTATGTTTTGGGCTCGTATACGTTCGTTTGAACTCGAAATTTAATTCCGCTTTTTCCTGTGTACTCCCAACGAAATGTTCTATTCGATCACGCTTGCCCAACTACTATTTTCTTGAAGTCCTGTTTCCAACCTGCACACCAATGACGACAAACAATCAGAAAACGACCGAGAAATACCAGAAAAACCAAAATAAAGCAAAATAAACTTCAAAATGAACTAAAAACCAATTAAAAAGACCTAAAATGAGGGAAAGATAAAGACTAAAATACAATGAAAAACGCAACAAAAATAGGACAAACACCTGTATAATTCATATGGTGGTTTGTAAAAAAAATAGTTTATATGGTATGCGCCAAAACCGTGATAGTTCGAATGAGAAATAATAATTTACCCTTATAATTATTGCACATCGGTCCCATATGAGACCTTCTAATCCTACTTTGCCCTAATTAGCGCCACACTTATCATCATTTGCCCCCTTACTTTATTTTCCCTCCCGTTTTCCTCAGTCTGGAGGTTGTACACTGCGCTACAAATACTTGTACAGTCGCTCACACTCATTCGGATTGACAAAACTACCCCACGCCCTCATCCCTGCAAAACTGTGTTCTTGTGTGTGCGCCCTCCTTGTGTGGCTCCCTATATATATTGCGAGGTACACACCTTCAGTGTGTGCGCTGCTGTGTGTGAGAGATACAAACATCTTAGAAAGAGAGAGAGAGAGAGAGAGAGAGAGAGAGAGAGAGAGTGTGTGTGTGTGGGCACCATCGCTGATAACATCTGCGAAATTACACAATTCCAAAACCCTAATCTTTCATCGAGCAGCGGCGGCGGCGGTTGGAAGATGGATGCTCAATTGGCGGCCATTTTGGGGGCGGACCCGGCGCCGTTCGAGACTCTCATCTCCCACTTGATGTCATCGGCCAACGAACAGCGATCCCAGGCCGAGTCAATCTTCAATCTGATCAAGCAGAACGATCCCAATTCGCTCGCCCTCAAACTCGCCCAACTTATCTCATCATCTGTGCACCCTGAGGCTCGTGCCATGGCCACCATCCTTCTCCGGAAGCAGCTTACTCGGGACGACTCCTACATCTGGCCACAACTCACCGAGTCGACTCGTTCCTCCATTAAGAGTACCTTGCTGTCCGCAATCCAGAACGAGGAGTCCAAATCTATAATAAAAAAACTCTGCGACACCATCTCCGAGCTCGCTTCCTCGTTGTTACCCGAAAATCAGTGGCCTGAACTTTTGCCCTTCATGTTTCAGTGTGTGACTTCCAGTTCGCCGAAATTGCAGGAGTCTGCCTTCTTGATATTCTCCCAATTAGCCCAATTTATTGGAGAAATATTGCTCCCATACATAACCGATTTACACACTGTGTTTCTGAACGTGCTGAATAGCTCTCCCAATCCGGATGTAAAGATAGCAGCGCTGAGTGCCGTTATCAATTTTATCCAGTGTTTGTCAAGCTCGAATGACCGCGATAGGTTCCAGGATTTGCTGCCTTCAATGATGAGGACGTTGACCGAGGCACTGAATTCGGGACAGGAGGCTACTGCACAGGAGGCTTTAGAATTACTGATCGAATTGGCTGGCACAGAACCTAGGTTCCTGCGGAGGCAGATTGTGGATGTTGTTGGGTCCATGCTGCAGATAGCAGAGGCCGAGAGCCTGGAGGAGGGCACAAGGCATTTGGCAATTGAGTTTGTAATTACATTAGCTGAAGCACGGGAAAGAGCGCCTGGAATGATGCGCAAGTTGCCACAGTTCATTAGCAGGCTTTTTGCGAATTTGTTGAAGATGCTTTTGGATGTGGAGGACGATCCCGCCTGGCACAGTGCAGAGGCTAAGGACGAGGATGCTGGGGAGACCGGTAATTACAGTGTGGGGCAGGAGTGTTTGGACAGGCTCGCAATGGCTCTTGGTGGGAATACAATTGTTCCTGTGGCATCTGAGCAGCTTGCTGCTTTTTTGTCGGCTCCTGAGTGGCAGAAGCATCACGCTGCCCTTATTGCCCTTGCACAAATAGCGGAAGGTTGTTCTAAGGTATATACATATGAGTCCTGTTTAGCAATAATTTTGACTTACGAGGTTCTCATTTCTTTTGTAGCGCCCAGTGAGTTGCAAGTTAGGTCTGATGTTTGTCCATTGTTCAATGGACACATGAGCACATGTAACAAATTAATGTGCAAATCAATCTGGCGTCTATCTATATTTATGTTTATCATCTTTACAAATATTCTTCTTATGCTTGTAGGCAGTAGCCTCATCACCAGATGTTTTAAACTTTGTAAGTTAATTAAGTGAGGTTGATGTAATTTCGTGTCTCACTTCAACTCAGGTATATTTTTAGGGGATTTAACAGACTTTTTAGTTTTAGTTTGTTATACTCTGTTGCTAGGGGTTGCTTAATCGGCTAATTTAACATATGTCAAAAATAGTATTTTCCTGTATACTTGTCTGAGAGTGATGCAATCCCTTTATAACTTACATAGTTCCTTTTACTTTGCTACTATAGGTAATGATTAAAAATTTGGAGCATGTCGTGAACATGGTTTTGAACTCCTTTCAACATCCTCATCAACGTGTGAGATGGTCAGCTATTAATGCAATTGGTCAGCTATCGACCGACTTGGGTCCAGAATTGCAAGTTCAGTACCATCAACGTGTGCTGCCGGCTCTTGTTGCAGCTATGGATGATTTCCAGAATCCTCGAGTTCAGGTGTAGATAATATTAACAATGAATTATTTCTCTCATGCAACTGTGACTTCTCTTGTTTATGCTTCCCATGTTAGCAACGAAGGGATCAATATCACTTTCATTTTCTTTTATATATTCTGCTTAGGATTTTGCTTTATGTGTTTTGAACTAATAAAAGATGCATATTGCAAAAAATATAAAAAAGTTATGCTTCGCTCCTAAAACGTGAACAGCACAAGTGATTATGTATTAAAGTATATTTTGAAAATATATGTGATCATGTATTAGAGTGTATACTTGAAATAAGTTTTAGATGCTTGTAGTCCTGTGGTACATCTGGAATCTGTGTAATATTTACCAGTTAATTTTTTTGCATGCAGGCACATGCAGCTTCGGCAATCCTTAACTTCAGTGAGAACTGTACTCCAGAAATTTTGACTCCTTACTTAGATGGGACAGTGCAGAAGCTGCTTGTACTTCTACAGGTGCAGTTTTAGTTGAACAAAAAAATTAATACTGGAGATGCATGAAATTTATGCATGTGCTGTAGTTGATATATGATAGCATAACTAACTTGTGTTTTGTAAATTGTAGAACTCCAAACAAATGGTGCAAGAGGGTGCCTTAACTGCTTTAGCTTCAGTTGCTGATTCATCGCAGGTATACCAATGTTGTAATGACCCTTCAATTTTAATATTTTTATAGTCCAGTTATATTGAGTTCATAGTTGGAATTTGTTATGGCAGGAACACTTCCAAAAATACTATGACGCTGTCATGCCTTATCTGAAAGCAATCTTGGTTAATGCGACAGACAAGTCTAACCGCATGCTTCGCGCGAAAGCTATGGAATGCATCAGCCTAGTTGGTATGGCAGTTGGGAAGGAGAAATTCAAGAATGATGCTAAGCAGGTAAATGATTATAGATTATATGATCTGACTGTAGTTTTGTGGTGAATGTACTATATTTTTCCTTTCTCTGCTCATTATAATACAGTTGTATTTACACTCTTTAAAGTCCGTACTTCTTGTGTTGACTAGATTTATACCATATTTTCATCTATTAGCCGAACTCGGTTGCTTCAGGTTATTGGTGGTGGTTTGTCTTTATTTATAATTGGCGAATGATGTTGATTTTCTCAATATATGCTAGGTGATGGAAGTGCTTATGTCATTGCAAGGATCACAAATGGAGACCGACGATCCAACTACCAGTTACATGCTACAGGTAAGCCATTATGCGTGTCTTTGAATCTGTGAAGTCCATACCTGAGGTCTAATGATTTCATTTTCTTTTTAATTTTTAACATTTTTTTTCTGTATAGGCCTGGGCTCGACTTTGCAAATGTTTAGGGCAGGATTTTCTTCCTTACATGAGCGTAGTTATGCCTCCTTTGCTTCAGTCTGCTCAGCTAAAGCCTGATGTCATCATTACATCTGCTGATTCAGATGATGAAATTGATGAGTCAGATGATGAAAGGTATTTTTTATTTTATTTTTTGTCCTTTAGAGTCCTCTTGACTTATTTGCCAGGAATGTCAACTCCATGGAGGATACTTGAGTAATTGAATCGGTTGTATTTTGTTTTTCTTGATGATGAAATTACTTCACTTCATTCGTCTAAACAAAATCACTATAAAAATGTAATGGTTATGCATTAACAACTTGATTTTGTTGTGGAAAATCATAGTTGTAGCATTGTTCATGCCTTTATCCTATGGGACCTAATTGTATCCATCTATTTGTATCCTAGATCAATGTTACTATTCTAATGTTTGCAGCATGGAGATCATAACCCTCGGCGATAAAAGAATTGGCATTAAAACTAGTGTCCTAGAAGAAAAGGCCACTGCCTGCAATATGCTGTGTTGCTATGCTGATGAATTAAAGGAAGGTTTTTTCCCATGGATTGATCAGGTTAGTTTAGGTCTATTTGTTTTTGCGTAGTGCCTCAATGGTAAATCATAATTTAATAGAGTTGTGCTTCATGATATGGTGTAGGTAGCCCCAATACTGGTTCCACTTTTGAAGTTTTATTTCCATGAAGAAGTCAGGAAGGCTGCTGTTTCAGGTGATATAGAATTCTCATAACAGTAATTTTTATTATAATGTATATTGGAATTGCAAATGTATGTTATGGTTTTTTAAAATTTTTCTTGTAGCAATGCCTGAGCTTCTGCGTTCTGCAAAATTGGCTGTGGAAAAGGGGATTGCTCAGGGCTTTAATGAGCAATATGTTAAGCAGTTGTGTGATTACATAGTTGTTCCTTTAGTTGAAGCTTTACATAAGGTCTGATATACTTTACTCACAATATATGAATATACCTGTATTTTCTTTTATGACTACTAGTGTTATTATTTGGAAATTACAGATGTAGTTTTTTTGTGTTATGCAGGAACCTGATACAGAGATATGTGCAAATATGTTGGATTCTTTGAATGAATGTGTGCAGGTGAGCTACTTTTATCATAAAGTGGAATATACATGTTGACAATTTTAGG